CTACTTGCAATTCCTCAATCATAGCTTAATTCTCGACAAATAGCGATGCCATCAACAAGAACATCTGAGCCTATTCTTGCATCAACCGTCAAAACTGTCTAGCAGACAACCAACTATATTCCTCTTCTTCAGGAGTAGAAAACCTCACAGACTTGTTATAACAATTAATATGAACATATTTATGCTTTAACCAGTTCATACCCAAAATCACATCCAACCCTCTTAAAGGCAAACAAACCAAATCAACAGCAAAGTCTCCGTCGAAGATCGACAAAGGACAATTTAAACACACAAAATAAGTAGTCACCAACCCCTTGGCTGGAGTGTCTACAACCATCTCTCCATTCATAGAAGATAATATAAGACCCAATATTTCAACACAATCAGCAGCAATAAAGCAATGAGTAGCACCAGTATCATTAATAGTAATTACGGGAGTACTATTAATGAAACATGTACCTCTGATGAGTCTGTCCTCAGTAGTTGCCTGATCCTCAACCAAAGCGAACAATTTACCATTGGTCTGTGCCTTCTTTGGTTTCTGACACTGACTACCAATGTGTCCTTCTTCACCATAATTGAAACAAATCACCTCCTTATGCTTGCACTCTGATACAACATGTCCAATCTTACCACAACAAAAACACCTCTTCACCTCAACAGTACACACATTACTCTTATGCCCAGGTTTTCCACATTTGAAACAAACCACACCAGCAGGAGTATCTCCCCTACTAGTCCTCTGACCCTGAGCAACTTTCTATTTACCTTTACCAGATGGGGCATCATAAGGCTTACCATGATTCTGTTGGTGCTTACCCCTCTTCTCACTGATAATCTTATAGTGAGCATTATTATCCTCTTCATAAATTATGAAACTATCAATCAAATCCACATTGACACGAATCTTCTGGTATCCAACTGCCTTCTTGATCTCTGGGCGCAACCCATTCTCAAACTTGATGCACTTTGAAAACTCAGAATTTGCCTCGCTATAGTGCAGATAAAACTTAGACAACTCAACAAACTTTGTAGCATACTCAACAACCTACATACTCCCTTGTTTCAGTTTAAGGAACTCAATTTCCTTCTTACCACGAACGTCTTTAGGGAAATACTTCCTCGAAAATTCCCCATGAAACACAACCCAAGTGACATTTTCACCTGCAGCTTCCAACCTCTGACAAGTCTCTAGCCTCCAGTCATCAGCCTCGACTGCTAGCATATGAGCACCATATCGAACCTTCTGCGCAGGAGTGCAGTCCATCACCCGGAAGATTCTCTCAATCTCTTTCAACCAATCCAATGCTCCATCGGGATCATACTTTCCCTTGAAGGTAGGCGGATTCTCCCTCTGGAAATTTGCCAAACTACGAGATCCAACATTCCCGTCAGCATTCGGATGATTCTCCATAGCATGTGACATTGCTTCTAAAGCAGAAGCAACTGTGGCATCATTCCTTCCAGCCATCTCAACTTATCACTACAACATAAACAACGGTTAGAACTCAAATTAACAATACTCTATTTTTAAACAAAACTACGACTCGACAACTTGGTTGGACATACCAACTTGCTCTGATACCAACTTTGTAAAACCTCATTCTACCCGACAATATATATAAAATCAGAGTTATAAAAATCCTAAAACTGAATCAGGATGCCAAAAATTCAACTTAAAATAACGACATTCATTACCGATACATAACACATTAAACTTGGACGAACCAATAGCAAACATAATTCAATCTTAAAAAGAAACATCAACTTTCATAACTATGCAACGGAGTCATAATATTTCAACTTAAAGGAAATGTAACATATTTGTCCAACTAAGACAAGTTCAAATAACAACCATTTTAAAGAACAACAAATTAAAGTTCAATCAACTGAAATAATAACAATAAAACGAAAAGCATTCATCCCCCCGAGTGTTACGTATCAGAGCAATGACATCGACTCGAACTACTGAAGGTAAATCGCCTTCATTCTGGATTATATGCATGTTACTAACATCGGGGTAACATTCAAATAGAAGGGGTGAGATATCAAACATTATAATATAACGCATGATAAATAAAACATTAGAATCAATTCATACATATTCACCACTTCTCAGATCTTTAGCAACATAAACGCAATTAAAATCAATCACACGATAACTTAGAATGCAACGTAAAATGCAACTCATCTTTATGCAAATGCATGTGGTACCAATGAAGTAGAACTTCTATCTTAAAATCTGCCAATAAATAGAAGCATCAACAAGGCATAAGCCTTCTTCGCAGTTTGTCAATGCAGGCCATCACAAAGTATGCAAATGTATATGAATGCACTATCACATACTCACAACAATAATCATCCATCACAAGGCATTAGCCCACATCACCATTAGTACCAGTAAATAGAGGTAATTTCATCATCATTTAAAACTCCTTGCAACTTCACATTATCAACAGGAATTCATAACAGCAATCACACAACCCAACAACCCAACATAAATCAACATTGGCCATAAGCCTACAACATAAATCAACGATTCAATCATTAACAAAATCAGATGACAACTTAACAATAATTCGCGCAACATTGGTAACGACCAAAACGCAGCATTTACGGCAAAAGGGATAGGGAACTACGTGCCCCTCGACATGCATAGAAACTAGGACACCCTAAAAACTAATTCATACTCCTTGACACACACAGAGAAAACAAGGTAATGACCAACTTATGCTCCTCGACATGTCTTGCAACCTAATACTGCTCGAAAATCCAACACATAACCCCCCGACACGCCTCGCAACCTAAATGTCGCTCGGTACTTAACACCATCAATATCCTTCTCGACCACTAGTTTGGCCAATGACACAGACACGATACAACGTCTTAACAACCATGCCACTACAATTCATAACTTCCAGCCAGCCGCTTAGAATAACACATCAGCGGGAAACTATATTTCCTATCAACAGATTTCATCAAACATACAAGACAGTCCCGCAGGAACCTCCTTAAAACGATCACAACAACATAACGACCATAACGACCAGTGATCAACTACCCTAACCTATACATCATTTAAACCGGGCAGTCACACAGATAACTCAAAACGTCCACAACACACAACCAGACAAATTCCTACAACATGTTCATTAAACGGTCATACGATAATTCCCAACGACCACAACACGAACATATGGGCAACTTCGATAGCAATTCAGAAACATCAACGTACAACAGACATACAACGATGAATTTCCACGTAATACACATAATAAATACCATTATAATGTCAGAACCCCACCCTTACCTGGATTGAAGGTCGCTCAACCAAATCCCCGACCGTAATCCTTGCTTTGCTCTGCTCGACACCGGACAACTTACTCCTCTTCCACGCAGCTCTTTCGGTCAATGCACAAAATTCTTATTCACCAATTAAAACAATTCCTTGTGTCAGCTTAACCTTATATATCAATCCTATTGGGCCTAACCTACACCCCCACTTTACTACTTCCAACCAATAGCATAAGTCCAACATTATATATTCCAACATATAATAATTATTAATCAACTAATTAATTAGTAATAATCCAACAACTTATACCAATAATTCTCAATATCTCGCAACTTCGACAAATAATCCAAAAATAATTTAATTAAATAATTAACTAAATTAATGGGAGTTACAGTTTTTATCAAAGGCAACATCGAAGGGTCATCGAGGGACTACAATCTTCTTTTTTATCGAGGGATTTTGCTAAAGCGTCCCATATTCGAGGGACATGACTGTTTTTTCGAGACGACAAGCAAGGTTACTCTAGAGGTGCGCGTGTGAAAAGTGGTTTGTTTTCAATTAATTTGTCTTGATTAGAGTTGTCTAGCGGTTAATTTTAAATCTTTCCATACACGCCTTATTGTTATACAGTATAGGAAATGCAGTAAAGTGCAAAAAATAAAGTTCTACACTATTACAACACTTCGAGAGTGGGGGTACAAATTTATGAATGAGTATGAAAGAAAAGCCTAATTAAACTATTACAAACCGTAAGTAGTTATAATAATCGGAAAAATGCGAAAATAGTAAACTATACGATAATAAAAAGAAAAGGGAAATTGTTTTTTATGATTTTATCAAGTAAGGGAATTAAACCAAATAAAAAGCTATGAACGAAAAATTCAAGAATTAAAATTCTAAATAATATTTTAGGTATTTTGTTTATCATGAAGAAAATAAAACAATTAGAAGAAATAAACTAAAAACTATTAAAAATAGAATAAAATGACTAACTAACAAATTTATTATTCAAAAAATTCTTAAACAAATTTTTAAAACTAAGAAAAATAAGAAATTATTTAGTTAAGAAAAAAAATCTGAATTTAAAATCTAAACTGAGCTAAGAAAATCATGAAAAATAATAATAATAATAATAATAATAATAAATAAGGTGCAAACAGAAAATACTGGGGGTGAATTTCACTCATGGGTTGGAAGTTGGAGAAAGGCCCAAAACAATTTCTGTTTAAAATAAAAGAGACGGGAGTGTGAGGCAAGAATCCGGACTGGGCTGACAGCTTAAGCCCTCTAGCAATAAAACAGAATAATAAAGAAATGGATTAGAATAAGAAAAACAGAACAATGAAAAAGGTCCCAGGGGGTCTCGAACCCAAGACCTCAAGCAATCACACACGCACTCTTACCACTGCACCACCTGATCATTCGTGTATTATGGTTCTCCCATTAATACATAAACTGAAGTTTGAGAGTTGGATTGGGCCAAATGAAACAGGCCCAAACCGGATCCAACAAGAAAGAAGGTAAAGGGTTTGGAAACCCTAAAGACAAAGAAAAAGGCGCCACAGATTCCTTTGGAAATGGGAAAAGTTGTAATTATTTCTTCTTTAATTCTTAATTAATCAATAACCTCTTCTCTCTCTGTCCCGGTTTTCTCTCTGATATCTCACCAATGTAACGACAACAATTTTGAACTCTCTCAGTTCTCATGTTCTGCTTCTCACTCTCAAATCGGCACATGTACCTCTTTCTACTTCATCATCTTCTTCGTTCCAACTCTGTCATGGCGCCGCTGTCGAGCTCTCAACGTCGAAGCAAAAGATTCATCTCCGCCTCTCCTTTGCTTCGTCATCTCTCTTATCGACCAGAGACACTTCAAGTATGTACACCGTCACTGTCACACTTCTCTCTTCTTCTCTTCTGATTCTCCATGTTTCTGAATTTATGGTTGTTGTGTTATTCTGTTGTTAGTCATTGTTGTTGCAGTGGTTTTGATGTCGAAGTTAATACGACTATGTGTTGTTGATGATGCAGTTCTTTTGCAGGTTTGGTTGTGGATGAGAACGGAAATGACGAGGTCATATTTGTGTTAAATTTTCAGGTTCTGTGGTGCTTTGAGTTTATGCAGGATTTATTACATGAATCTTTGAGGCAATTTGGGAGAAGAACTTTTGTTGCTATTTTGATAGCGTTTTTACTACATCTTCTTCTCCTTTCTGTTTTTTTTCCTGAAGGGTTATTAATTTTTGTGCGTAGGGTATGGAAGGAATAGTTTTATGAGTTGTTTTTTTTTGTGAGTTTTTCGTGTGTTTTATAACACATTTCTTCCCCTCTTCTTCTCTATGTGCATAGTGATTATATAAGTGATATCAAGGTGAAAATTTAGGGAGAATAGGAGCCAAGAGTGAGTTGAAATTTGAATGGGAAATCCTTTTAGTGTAACTATTTTTATACTTTCTTGATGCAGGAATTGGTTTAACTATTTTGAGGAAGTTTTTGTCTGTTTTTGTGGACTCGTATAGCAGGTTGGTGTTGCAAAGTGCAGCAGGTTTTGAAGCAGACTGTTTGGACTGATTATGCAGGGACAACATGGCTGATTTTGGAGTAGCTTGGACAGGTTTGGACAGAAGGGCTATGCTTGTTTTTATTCTGGTTTTTTGGGACAACAAGATTTTGGTTCTCACAGATTTTGGCAGAAGAATCAGTGTGGACAAGGTTAAGGTTGTAGCAAGCATTATGTTGAAGATTTGGATAGCATGGACTTAGCATTAGAATATAGCTTTCATGTACACAAACTTGTGACTTCCTTTGTGATTTTGTAATGGTTTGGTAGATTGTATAATGGATGCTTGTAAACTTGAAATTGAAATTTAATGATATTTGCTACAACTTGTTTGTAAACTTGAATGGTCTTGAATCCTTGTATAAACCATCTTGATATTTGAATGCATTTTGAATCATGGATAATGTTGACACTTGAATTTTGTCATGAATTAATCTTGCATATGAAACTTGTAAACTTGAATGAATATGGAGGTAAAATTCCTTGACTTTGAAATGTAATCCTCTTTATTTGTGTTCAAAACATTCAAAAAATGGAAATTGATGAATGAACTTGATGAATATTGAATGTGCTTGAATAGTCATGAATTTTTGAGTTTGAATAAATGTTGTAACTTGAAGATGATGAATCAAATAGTGTGGATGTTGCTTGGACTTGATTTGAATTCAACATTTGTATATCATCTCATAGTTTCATAAGAACTTGTGCCCAAAAATAACTTGTATGCCGCACCCGACTTAAATGAACACTAGTTGTCAAACTTGAATTCAACCTCTTGCACAAATTTAGAAAGCATAACTTGTACCATAAACGATTGTTCTCAAATTATTTCATCTCAAGAAATGGTTGATTGGAGAAAGTATCCTTGAATTCATGTCTCATATCTTGACCAATGTCTTGCAACTCAGGCAACTAGATATATGCTCTTATCACAAGAACATTCAATGAAACCTTATCCATGATGTGCATTAAGTGATGATCTTGGTCGAAGCCCTAATCAAAACTGATGAACGCAAGCATAAGAGAGTGTATCTTGACCCATGAACCATAAAAGAATTTTCTTCTCTCTCTATTCCAACCCTCAAGAAGAATTCCAGTTAAATGACTTATATTGCAAGTAATTGATGGAAGATCTCAAGCAAACTCAAACCCAAATTATGAAGAAATGGTCCCATGATAATAAAGGGACAAAAACCTAATTCAAATAATCTTAGCCGAAAATATTGGTGAAAACCCTCAAAACCCTAGCTTCAAAAATATAATTCTTAGAAGAAACAAAGAATCAACCTTTATTTGATAGAGAAGCCCAGAACAAAGTGAAACCCTAATTTCACATTTCAGTACTTGTAGTGAATCTTCAGACGAAATGATAGACAAATTGAAGTGTCTTGAGGCGTGTGTAGTTGGAAACCCTAAGGGAATGTCTTGAAGAATAGGGAGGGAAAATTTTGGGATACAACAGCTTCCCCTGTTCAATCTTCTTGAACTTGAAGAGCTAGATTGGTACGTCCGCCATTCGTGACTTGAAGGTAAAAGATGATTAAACACTTAAGTGCCAAGAAATTTGCAATCGCTTGTGCAAGAAGTAACACTGTTGGTTGATCATACTGGAAAGGGGCTTAAAGATGCCATTTGGAGAATGACGAAATATTGTCGAAGATATGCTTATAGATGCCATCCAGAGGTGATGGAGAGTCGTCGGAGATGGGCTTATAGATGCCATCCAGGATAAGCGTTAATAGAAACTAGACTAAGTCTAAGCTCGACTTCAATCGGAAGAAGTATCAACATAAATTTATGCTTGATTTAATCTGAGCCAGAAGAAGTATCAGAATAAATCTTTGGTTGATTTAAATTGAGCCAGAAAAAGTATCTACTGGAAGAAGTATCAGAATAAATCTTTGGTCAATTTAAACTGAGCCAGAAGATGTCTGTATCTATCTTTACCTGGAAAAGAGTCAGAATAAATCTTTGGTTGATTTAAACTGAGCCAGAAAAAGTATCTACTGGAAGAAGTATCAGAATAAATCTTTGGTCGATTTAAACTAAGCCAGAAAAAGTATCTACTGGAAAGAGTATCAGAATAAATCTATGGTCAATTTAAACTGACCCAGAAAAAGTATCTACTAGAAGAAGTATCAGAATAAATCTTTGGTCGATTTAAATTGAGCCAGAAAAAGTACCTACTGGAAGAAGTATCAGAATAAATCTTTGGTCGATTTAAACTGATCCAGAAAAATTATCTACTGGAAGAAGTATCAGAATAAATCTTTGGTTGATTCAAACTGAGCCAAAAGATGTTTTTGTCTCTATTTAACTGCGAGAAGTATCAGAATAAATCTTTGGTCGATTTAATCTGAGCCAAAAAAGTATCAACTGGAAGAAGTATTAGAATAAATATTTGGTTAATTTAAACTGAACCAGAAGATGTTTGTGTCTGTCTTTAACTGGGAGAAGTATCAAAATAAATCTTTGGTCAATTTAATCTGAGCCAGAAGATGTATGTGTCTTTCTTTAACGGGGAGAAGTATCAGAGTAAATCTTTGGTCGATTTAATCTGAGCCAGAAAAGTATCAACTAGAAGAAGTATCAGAATAAATCCTTGGTCGATTTAAACTGGGCCAAAAGATGTCTGTGTTTATCTTTAACTGGGATAAGTATCAGAATAAAATATTTGGTTGATTTAATCTGATCCATAAAAAGTATCTACTGGAAGAAGTATCAGAATAAATCTTTGGTCGATTTAAATTGAGCCAGAAGATGTCTGTGCCTGTCTTTAACTGGGAGAAGTATCAGAATAAAATCTTTGGTCTATTTAATCTGAGCCAGAAAAAGTATCAACTGGAAGAAGTATCAAAATAAATCCTTGGTCGATTTAAACTGAGCCAGAAGATGTCTATGTCTGTCTTTAACTGGGAGAAGTATCAGAATAAATCTTTGGTTGATTTAAATTGAGCCAGAAAAGTATCTCATGGAAGAAGTATCAGAATAAATCTTTGGTCGATTTAAATTGAGCCAAAAGATGTATGTGTCTGTATTTAACTGGGAGAAGTATCAGAATAAATCTTTGGTTGATTTAAACTGAGCCAAAAAAGTATCTACTGGAAAAATTATCCGAATAAATCTTTGGTCGACTTAAACTGGCCAGAAGATGTATGTGTTTATCTTTAACTGGGAGAAGTATGAGAATAAATCTTTTGTTGATTTAAACTGAGCCAAAAAAGTATCTACTGGAAGAAGTATCCGAATAAATCTTGGTCGATTTAAACTGAGCCAGAAGATGTTTGTGTCTGTCTTTAACTGGGAGAAGTATCAAAATAAATCTTTGGTTGATTTAAACTGAGCCAGAAAAAGTATCTTTTGGAACAAGTATCAGAATAAATCTTTTGTCGATTTAAACTGAGCCAGAAGATGTATGTGTCTGTCTATAATTGGGAGAAGTATCAGAATAAATCTTTTTTTGTTTTAAACTGAGCCAGAAAAATTATCTACTGGAAGAAGTATCAGAATAAATCTTGGTCAGTTTATACTGAGCCAGAAGATGTATGTGTCTGTCTTTAACTGGGAGAAGTATCAAAATAAATCTTTGGTCTATTTAAACTGAGCAAGAAAAAGTATCTACTATAAGAAGTATCAGAATAAATCTTTGGTCGATTTAAATTGAGCCAGAAGATGTATGTGTCTGTCTTTAATTGGGAGAAGTATCAGAATACATCTTTGGTTGATTTAAACTGAGCCAGAAAAAATATCTACTGGAAAAGTATCAGAATAAATCTTTGGTCTATTTAAACTGGCCAAAAGATGTCTGTGTCTATCCTTAACTGGGAGAAGTATGAGAATAAATCTTTTGTTGATTTAAACTGAGCCAGAAAAGTATCTACTGGAATAAGTGTCAGAATAAATCTTGGTCTATTTAAACTGAGCCCGAAGATGTTTGTGCCTGTCTTTAACTGGGAGAAGTATCAGAATAAATCTTTGGTTGATTTAAACTGAGCCAGAAAAAGTATCTACTGGAAGAAGTATCAGAATAAATCTTTTGTCGATTTAAACTGATCCAGAAGATGTATGTGTCTATCTTTAATTGGGAGAAGTATCAGAATAAATCTTTTGTTGATTTAAACTGAGCCAGAAAAGTATCTACTGGAAGAAGTATCAGAATAAATCTTAGTCGATTTAAACTGAGCCAAAATATGTCTATGTCTGTCTTTAACTGGGAGAAGTATCAGAATAAATCTTTGGTTGATTTAAACTGAGCCAGAAACGTATCTACTGGAAGAAGTATCAAAATAAATCTTTGGTCAATTTTAACTGATCCAGAAGATGTCTGTGTATGTATTTAACTGGGAGAAGTATCAGACTAAATATTTGGTTGATTTAAACTGAGCCAGAAAAAGTATCTACTGGAAGAAGTATCAGATTAAATCTTTGGTCAATATAAACTGAGCTAGAAGATGTCTTTGTTTGATTGCATCTGAAAAATATATTAGAATGAGTCTATGCCCAACTGTATCTTAAAGTGGATCAGAATGAGCCTTTTCCCGACTATATCTGAACCATGCTTTCCAGAATGAAACTCTAGGAAGGGTGTTTGAGTAGTTGCTCTCCATGTAGATAGTGGCCCTGTCCTATTTCGGTATTTGATCTGGAACCTGTTTTGTTCTTCACAGATAGCTGCCCTGTCTTGTTTCAGGAATTAATCTGTTGCCTGGTCATCCAGATAGTTGCCCCGTCCTGTTTCAGGAATTGATCTGTTGCCTAGTCATCCAGATAGTTGCCCCGTCCTATTCCAGGAATTTATTTGTTGCCTGGTCATCCAGATAGTTGCCCCATCCTATTTCAGGAATTAATCTGTAACCTGCTCTTTGTTGGCCACTGAGATAGTTTCCCCGTCATGTTTCAGGAATTTATCTCTGACCTGGTCTCATAGATAGTCATCCGTCTTGTTTCGGGAATTAATCTTTAACCTATTTTAAAATTGTTGATGATATTCGTTTGTTGATTGATCTTTCCTGAAAGGTAAAGAGTTAGTTGTATGCAATGTCATAATATATGAAATGCATTGCGTAATGATTCTCTCAAAATAAATGAGACCGTGCTATATGCGTTTCGTATGCATATGTTATGACGTATGAATGTGAAATGTTGTTGAAGTGTATTTTTAAACCCGTGCGATATCTTTGTCTGGGAAAATAAATCCCTGATT